CTGGGTAGCATGGAATGAAGGAATGGACAGTAGCCTGGGTATGAAATTACTACACTGGGGGTTATTTGATGTAAGGGTTCATTCCACCCGAGGGTTTTAGGGTTGGTTGACCTCAACAGTCACTTCTCCACCACGTTTTGTACATCTTGAATGCCACATACAAGCCATCTTGGAGACGTTGCAAACATGTGTCACGGCTCAGCCCCGATGTGACAGCTTCTGCAGGCTTTTTCAGGTACAATACCTCGGGTTAATTTGTTCGGGTCTCTGTTCACCAAGTGCCATTTGTTCATGAATGCCATTTCATCTGGAGGCCTTCCAGACATGTCTTCAAATTTTTTTCCGTGATCACCACCCTAAACCCTAAACCCAAAATCCATCCCCGTCGGCTGAGGCCACGAACGGCACGGAGGTTGAGCTGCAGCTGCTCGGCTGGACTTTGCAGCCGCAATTTGTGAAGGGGCATTTGGGATCTAGGTAAGGGACAACATGGCAACCCAAGTTGTAACATGGTAGTAGCCTAGAGCCTTGTCTTGAGTACAACTACAGATAACACCAAAATTCTTACCTGTTGGGATGCGTCTAACTAAAGTTCTTTCTTGAAAAAGTATGCTGAGTGTTCCCAGGATCTGGCCAATCAATTTGGGGACTTGTTTCCGAAAATGCTAGCAAGTCCTTTCAGGTCCGTTCGCAGACTGATGTGGCTACTTTGGCAGGAGTCCCTTCATATCCGCAGAATCGTGCTCGTCAAGCCTCAACCAGAACGCTGACTACTCCACGATCAGTCTCTTGTGTTCTCTGAGAATGTCAAGTCTCCGTCTGTAGACGCAGTGAGAGCAACCCTTGTTCCTGATAAAGCTATGTACTCTCCAGTTCAGGACCGTTATCCGCTTGGTTCTGATAGACCAGCGGTAGGCCTCTAATACAACAGAGCAGCAACCAAGACCTTCCGTGATCGCTTGGCTTCCCGTTCCCCAAAAGGCAGTCGGAGTCAGAAGCAGCTTACTATTACCATTACCGATACCACATTATTACCACGACTTTTACCATTACTATTACCAGTACTATTACTATTCCCACTACTATTACCATTACTATTACCAGTACTCTTACCATTACTGTTGCTTTTACTCTTGCTGTTGCTACTACTCAGTTTAGAAACCTGGGCCTCAGGTGGATGTCCCAGTGGAGCGAAGAGGCAAAAACCGGGTTGAGGGATACTCAGACATTCCAATATGGGCCATAGCAACAACATGTTAAATGGGGGTCATATAGGGGATTTTTAAAGGGGAGTATTCTAGGGGTTATTAAGGGGGATACTAGGAGGTTAGACTATAGCTCAGCTGCTGTTGGCCCTAGGCTAGGCGACATCAGGAGTCTTCTCCCAAAGCACTCCAGCTGAACCCCAAAACAGCCCAAAACCCGAGACCTTAAGCTGTGATCGTCTTCCGTTATCAAGGAATGGCGGAGCATCCGAAACCCGTACCCTTCGACCCCATCCTGAACCACTAATCCGTCAGGAAGAGCTCATGGCGGGCTACGAAGGCCGGGCCGCTGTGGCTATGCTTGTTCAGGGATAGGTTATTAAATGGTCTCTATTTTTTTTACGGTTTAGGGTTTAGGGTTTAGGGTAATTCCGATATAATCCTTACAAAGTTATGAGCATTTAATTCTTACGGGGGCCCCCACACCTACCCTAGTCTTGTGGGGGGCTTCTGAGATTCTCCTCCTTCAGTAGATGCAGTGCAGGGCGAGTAGTGAATGTATCCCCTCTCCCTAATGATACACACCGCACTCCTCCGAAAATGAATATTCCCCTTAGATATACTGTGGTTTTATGTGGGAGGCTTATTTTAAGGTGGTGGGGTGGGGTGGAGGTTACCTATTCGGAGGGGACTATTTCGACACCCGAAATATTTCCTGTATTTGAGTTTGGGGTTTAGGGATTGCGGGGTTTAGGGTTGTTGAGCGTGGTCCTTACATAAGTCTTTTCCCATCTTGGGATACCAGGTCCTAACATGTCCTGACCGTGGGGGCCTGAATCTGGGCCCCTACCTATTTCTTGGGTCCTAACTATGGGCCCTCAGTTGGGCTTGTAGGGTTTTAGGGGTTATATAATCGGTATGTAGGGAGTTCAGCATCCAGCGCCCATACTAGGGGCTCATAGTTTGTAGGGTTTAGGGCTTGGAGTCCAACCTCAGATGGCAACATTAAATTGGTCAAACTTCCCACTTCGACCCAAGAGCCATTTGGTAGTTTCCCAAAATTAGGGTACCCCAATATAGACCCCAAAATACTATAGTCCTTATTCTGGGGACCCCATAAATGGTACCCCTTATTTTAAGAAACCCCTATTTCTATAGAAGCCCCAAAACCAAAGCCGCCTCCAGCTCCACTCCCAAACCCCTGAACCCCCTGTACACCCGCGTGTCCCCTGAGAGCCATTCAAAGGGACCTCAAAATCCGCACCCCCAGTGAACTCTGAAGCCAAAATTCCCCGAACCCCAAACTTTAAATCCGAAACCCTCAACCACAAACCCTGAAACTACCAATTGCAGGCTCCCTAAACTCTATAACTCTTGTCTTGTTCTTATATACCCCTGTTGGATATGTCCATGTAACCCCTAGGCTCTAAGCAATTCTAAGCTCCTGTATTATACTTCTATACTATAATCGCTATATATCCCTAGATATGCTTATATACCCTTATATAACCCTCATATACCCCTACATAATCCTTACATACCCCTACATAATCGCTAGATACCCCTATACAATCCCTAGATACCCCCAAATGTCCCTATGTACCCCTATGTATCCTTATATAGAAGCATTTCACTTCAGGCGCGGGCAAAGGCCGGTGGCGCGGCCTCTCCCGCCTGCTGGGTGCCGGCTGCTTCGGTGTGGCCATGCTGCTAGGCACGAGGGGGGGGAAGGGGGGAAGGGTTTCTCTAGGGATGGTATAGGGATGTATAGCTACAGGGGTTGTATAGGGATATGTAGAGTTTAGGGTCTATATATGAGGCAGGAAAAGTGGAGAATGGAGAATACGTTTGAAACTCTGCGGGGCAGGCAGAAGGGTAAGCTTCAAGTGCGATTGCATGTTATGACATTTGATATTGCGTTTGAAGCAACCTGGCAAGGAATTCTATCTGGAATGGGACGGAAACTGGCAGGGGTGCAAATGAGCTTTGATTCCAACAGTGCGGAGTGTGGTAACGTTTGGGAAGCCCCCGGACATTTTCATGACAGCAAGCTGTTTGGTCTTGATGTGAGCGCAATCGGAGCCATCGACATGGAACCTGATGCGAATTCTCGCTTGACCGGCTTCTGGTAGTTGTTAGTAAGGACATAAGGAACAGGTAATGATGGAGTCTTGTACATTGACTATTATGAGGCTCATGCAGGGATTACTCGAAGGATCCACAGAGCATACTGGTTGTGAGTAGGAAATGGAGGAAAGGATCCCTATGGTAGCTCTGTCTGTTAAATCCCTCATAGTATAGTAGCTTCCACTTTCTTTTCCATTCCTTCATTACGTACTAGCAACCAGTAGTTCCTACGTATATCCTGAAGCCCTGTCCGGCAACCTGGAAACGTCCAGGCTACACAGGATCAACGTCTGAGCCGCTGCGAATGTGGTCTTTGTCGCAAGGGATACACTTCCGGTTCCTCTTTCCTGTATCCCCTTTATCGGCGCTACTGCTTCTCTCGTTTGCATTCTCTCAAACTCATCTCCATTGTTGCTCTTCTCGTTTTGATGGCTCTTACACCCCCAAAACAAATTTGGAGCCTCAAAAGGGGCGCTCTATAGACTATTGTCCTTTAAAAGGGGGCCTTTATGAGGCTCCATTCAAGCTCAGCCCTTGCTATGATTGATGGCAGGTGCAGTGCGCTTCAACCGCAAGTCCTCAGCCGAGGGCCTGCTGCCTACACACCGTTCCTGGCCAAGAATAGTAGGGTTTAGGGTTCAGGGCTTAGCGTTTAGGGTTTCGTGATATGTAATTTCAACAAATTTGGGTTACTTGGGAGGGGTTTTAGGGTTTAGGATGTGGGGGCTTCAGGCAATGAAGAGAAAGACCGGAGGAGCATACGGGGTTTCAATACTATTTACTTGTTTTGGACTTGGAGTGTAGGGGTCAGGAAGTGGATGCGGCCAAAAAACTTCCCAACAGACGTCCTCATAATCCTGCCCGATCTTGGTGAATTACTCCCTTGCTCCGATTTGTAGCCGCGCCTTATTCCCCAACTTTCTAGATGTCCCGCAATGTATTTGGACCCTAAACCCTAAACCGAGCTAAAGGTTGGTCCTTTGTGGGCAGTTATTTATGGGAGGGTTCAAAGGTAAGGTTATGGGAATGAGACATTGCAGAACCCACCCCGGACAAGTTTACCAATCCCGCCTGGCTCCAAGGAAAAGCCCATTTTGTGTGAGGGGCGCGCACGCCGCACCTTGAGCAGATTAGAGGGGTGCCTGCTGGACTCTTTTCGAGCCGCGTGGCCCCAAGGACTAACCCCCCGCACCTACGGCGGACACACAATTTCTGCTATGTCTTAAATGATACGAAGTCCGATCTCTCGCGTTGATATTACGAATCCTGGTGACCTTCTTATACTAGATGCTAGAAGAGATGACGTATTTGAGTCGCGCAAGATTTATAGTCTCAAGTGGAGTGTTGGTCCTGGCATCTTTTGGGCTTAACGCTTCACGGAAAGCAATCTTCATAATTCACGAGCGAGAGCGGCTTTTGAGATGTTTGAAAGGGGAGCTTCCAAACTTGGAGTTGTTCTAGGAGAGGTTCTCATTGTCCTCTAGCAACGGTAAGATGTATGTCAGCCTCCTTGGCTGTGTAGTTCCGAGGCTTATCCTGAGGGCCCATACTCTCCGAGACATGGTTGCCTTTGCAACAGGGCTTGCCCCCATGTCTCTGATGCATCTGAGCTATAGTCTAAACTCCTAATATCCCCTTTACTTACCCCTATAATGCTCCCGTATATAACCCCCATTAAGGAGTTTCGACTATAGCTTATATAACCGCAACATACATATATATATATATCCTAAAGCCAAAGCCCTTAATAGTAGCTTCCATTTTCTTTTCCATTTTGCCTATATACCCCCAAGATACATATATATATATGTAACCCTAAACCTTATACCCTAAACCCTGTATATTCCTACATAACCCCCTTCAATCATGATAACCCCCTTTAAGGGGTTTCAACTATAGCTCATCTGAGCTAGGATTTTTTGCAGGGTGCCTCAGGAACAAGGGTGAAGGTATACACGGGGTGTCCCTTTTGGGTAGCCCCAAAAAGAAGGCCATGGGCCAGGGAATCGCTAAGGGAGCTATAATGTAAAATCCCTAAAACAGGTTATAGCGGGGATTATATAGGGGAGTATTATAGAGGTTATGAAGGGGGATACTAGGAGTTTAGACTATGCTGTAGCTTTAAAGGGCCCCTTCTCAGATGGAGGCATAGAGTCCGAAATCCCACTGGACGTACAGCATGATAGTTACCAAGCGGAACTGCTGACTCACTTTGCGCATGTTCGTAGAACCTACCTACAGCTTTTTGATCTTGGGAAGACCTAGCTCTTGGGTATCGGGGCAACTAGAAATTGATGAATTTTCGGCAGGTCTTAACCCTAAACCCAGTTACTGAAGTTATCAGGCTCCATAGCCTGGCCGCGGAAGTGCGGTTTATGCAAGCAGGCGACTGCACTGTGCTTAATTAATTCCAACGCAGCCCAGAACCCTCATGAATTACGACTGGGTACTTGTTCACCAAGTGAGTAACCCTGTCTGAACCTTTTGCTTTGCGCTTTGCCTTTTGGGTGCGTGCTGGAAGCATTAGGGCTTGTGATGCGAAATTACGCAGTGGCCCTTCTCTGGAAGAGATCTCTCAGGTCAGAACAGAAACCAAGATAAACACTTCTTCTTTTCATGACAACGTCGTTTGACGTGCCGCATTGTTGCTTGTGGTTAGTGCTACTGGGAAGAGAGCTTAAGAAGGGAGAGTATGGGTAAGCAGGACTTACACAGGGAGCTGTTCATTTGGTAGCATCACCTTCTGCATCATGACACAAATATACCTATCTCGGGATGTGCTCCAAAACTTGCTGGGATGATTCATGTCAAGTTCGTGTGGGAGATCCCACCCAGCGCAAAGCCACAACGCGATAACGCATGCAGAGCATCGAAGATCGCTCGCCAAAGACAGCGTCAAAAAGCTGCCACTGCACGAGCTTCCCATCGGTTCAGCATTTGCTTGGATAGGTTTGACATTAAGTGTATTGCAATCCCGAGATAATCTTTAGGAAGCCACAAGAAATCAATGCTTATCGGGCCTCCAGGCCTACCCTAGTTTATTGCTTAGACGTCAAACTCTAGTGTTAAGCGTTTGGTAGACTTCAGGGTTTATCCGCCTGCGGTGTCTCCAAAGCCTAAGGTCCTCCCTTTCTTTGGCCTCCGTATGGATCCCAGTAGCATATCATGGGGCTGGATTCTTTTTGTTGGCGTAGCTTTACTTGTCCAACTCAGCACTATCTAACCCTTCATAGCCACAACCCTAGAAACTCCTAGCAACTTCGGCCCCTTCCCAACGCCCCTTCACCACAGCCATTCCGCCACATCCGCAGATCTGCCCAGCGCTGGTACGATGCTAGTAGCAAAGATGGACAAAAATTCCATAAAGCACACCTGGGGTTTGCAAAAATAGGTGGTCTTAATATACACCCCACCCCAATATACACCCTAATATATACCATAATCTCTATTGCGTTATGAGGACTCCCAGAAGAAAGCCCCTAGTTTCCGGAAATCTACACCAGTCTTCTTGGCATTGATCTATGTCTCAGTCCGGTCTTTCAGGCTGAAAAAACCCTACTTGGAGTGTCACGGGGACGTAGTGAGTGGGTTACTAATGGGGAGAGCTGGGGTTATTATACGGCTTCTAGGAGTGGTAGGTACACTTACTAAGTCCCCCCTGACCCTCCAAGTAGAGTTCTGAGCGCAAAATTTCCTGTGAGGGTGCTCAAGCCACAGTGCAGGATTGTTCATTATAAGGTTCAAGAGGGAAGTGTGCAAGGTATCTGAGATGGTTACAGTCAGGTATGCGGCTTCCCCGGTCAACCCCCAACTTTTGCTTCTCGGCCACATTCAAAACGACATCCCTATCTTGAAGCCCCCTTAGACCCTACACTCCCACAAACTAACATGGAAACCCATATAGTTCCATTTTAGAGGGACTGTAGTCTTATAGGGCCCTTTTTGGGTTTCCATGTTAGTTTCCGGGAGTGGTAGTCTGTTTTCCCCCCTTCCCTACACCCTAAACCCTAAACCCTAGTCCGTGTTCCCCCCTTCCTGTTTGCTGCGCCAGGCTCAGGCCCTACGGGCTAAGGCTCGGAGGCAGCGGCAGCGGAGGTGGGAACTGAGTTACCAGAATTTGGGTATAGGAATAATCGAAATAAAAAGGAAACTACTATGTATAGGCTATAGGGGTATAATGGCTATATAGGGATTATCTTAGGGGTTATATAGGGGTTACACGGCAAAATCATACTAGGGTTTTCTTTGACGGGTAACTTGATTCAGGTTCCTTAGCAGCAACCTAGAAGAGGTCTTCAAGGGTTGAGATCTTCAGGGGTTGTGAAGGGGGTCCAATGGACATTCTGTTTTAAAATGATGCGGCTGGCAAGGGTTATGCAGGAAGGATCCTGCTATTTTGGACCAGTGAGTCTGAGAAGCTCACACTCATGCTCGCCCAACTAACTATTCCAGTCTGCTTCAGGTAAGTCCTTCAATTTTTTCAAAGACTGCTACAGGTCCTAGGTTTTGGTGTCGTGTGGGGGCTGCCCATATCTCCTCAGTCTAGGGTTTAGGGTTCAGGGTTGTGTTGTTGGGTTGTCCGTGGCCTCCTCTGCCACTCCATTGCCGGCTTGTATCTCATAGGCGATCTGTAATGTGGAGATAGCAACACATTGACGTGAGCTCTTTTCTGAGTTGAGACCCCATGCCTAAACCCGACAACCCAAACTTGAAACCTTAGTCCCCAGACCCCAAACCATCAACCTCAAGCCCTCAACCCCGAACCCAAAGCACCCTTGACAGGCTGTTTAGGCCCAGGGAGTGCGTATCCTGGCAGGGGTTTTGTAACATGTCCACCCCGCCTTGGGAGCGGTAGTCGTCTGGCAATACTCACGAGGGGTGTTCTTTCTGGTTGCATGTGGGCCGTGTGGCAATCACATCTCTGACAGCCTGACTGGAGGAGAACATGTCCGATAAAAAAGAGCCCTTGACGTCCTAAACTCTAACCCCAAACTTAACGTATAGTTCTGTGTAACGACAGTTTCCATTTTATTTCCATCTTCTTTTGCATTTGATTCTCCTTCATTCCCCAATACCAACAACATCGGACCCTGAACCTAGCATGCATTGTGACTGCACATACTGCACTAGGCGACGCAGGGAGCTCAACATTGAGCTTGCGCTGCCTGTGCACATGAAGCCCGGGCCTCTGTTGGGGGATGTGGGAAACTGCCAAAGTCACATGTTCCATTTTTGGTGCTACCTGACGTGGGGATTCCTAGGATCTTTGAACCTCCCATGTTCTACAGGCTTTTGCAGGGGAGCTTCACAAGGATTATGTAGCAAATTCGCAGGGATTTAGGATTTGAGTTTTCGGAGCTCACAATTGACTCTGCTTGTGTGCTTTTTTTGGTGACGCAGGCCGGCTTCGAAGGCACCTTTCTGGATGGTTGCAAATGGGGACTTCTCAAAAGACTTGGCCAGTGTTTTGCATGAAAAGTATAGGACTCTACAGGGTCCTGTTACAGGTGATTGGTGCAAACAAGCTTTTCTGATTCGATTTGTGCCTCAGAATGAAGTGCCCCAAATATTGCCATCTCAATGCAAGTTCTGCGCCCCAACCACCAAAATACGATAATCCTCCCAAAAGTGACCCCTCGTTCGTAAATAGCTTCAAGTTACCCAAAAAAAGTAACCCTTAGGTTTTGGAACCCCCTAAATCAACCCAAAGTTCAGCGCTGCATGGTGAAGGCGGAATCTTTCTCCAGAAGAGCTGAAGGTTCAGCTTCAGGACAGCCCATGGTACCTAAGCCCTACACCCTAAGCCCTAAACCCACATGGGAATTTTAAAAATCAGGCCCCCAATATGGACCCCAATATGCTGTAGCCCTTATTGTAGGGACCCCCAAAAGGGTGACTCATAGCAGCGGTGTTTTCCGGGTTCTTATGAGAAAGGAGAAGAGTACATGCAAGATGAGGTTTCAATCTTTCCCGATGCATTCTTGCCTCGCATGGAACTCCAGCATCGCCTCTGCTGGGCATTTACTTGCACGGTAGATTTTTCCTAGTCGACAAAGATGCTCCTTCTGCGGTGCCGGTTGCTGAGAAAATCCTTACAGAAGATTTTCCGGATCCAGGGTATATCTGTAGGATCATCTTTCTCCCCCTCGCAAAAATTTGCCAAGTGCTTGGCCAAGCAGGAGTTCGACCCATCCAAAGTCAAGAGCCGCGTGATGATCGTGGAGCGTCGCTACGCTGTGACACTGGCGACAGTTGATTGACTTAGTGTCCCTTTTTGGAATTCCAGCAAAATAGCATACAGGATTGTTTTTGGATAATGTACAGAGCGGGACCAGAATTTGACGCACATGCATTTACCACACTAAGTTGTCATGGAGCCTCCTGGCAAGCAAAGAAACCCCATCACCCTGACATGAGTAGCACTTGCTTTATGCGGGTATTGTAGTTCGCAAAAGAGGGTGACAGCGAGATTACAATCCCTTTCGTGGGCATGGTATTTGTTAAGAAGCATACTACCACCTTACTGGGTTCAGCCACCAAAAAACACAGTGCAAGGGATTTGCAGACGGCCAGCTTAAACCTGAAAAAACTTGTCGTTGGTTAGCAGGGCATGGAAAAGGGCAATGGAAGCTGCTATAGGCTTCTGGGTTGAGGAGAGTGAGGAGGGGAATAGAGGAATGGCCCTATAGTAGCCCCTATATAGATCCACGTGATACAGTTGGCCCCTCTCCAGATCCAAATGATACAGTTAGCCCCTATCTAGATCCAATGGTATAGTATTTTGCATCTTCATTTCCTTTGTATTCATTGCCTACTAACAACCATCAGGAACAAGCGGGCCTGCTTCGGGAAAATCCTGTTCTGCGTCTTTCTTGGAGGTGCTGGCTGTGCCATTAAACGCACGATTTCTTTCGTGAGCTTCCGGCTTTGCCTGAGAATTAGTAAATGGCCAATCTGCAGGCTTCCCCTTGTAACCTCCAGGCCCCAACCCCAAAGCTTTCCAAAATGCTCTATCTACATTCCTGTGGTCTCAAGTCAGGGTTGTGTTTCTCAAGTGGGCCCTGAGCCAGGTCTTCGTGGGCCTTGCCTGGATGCTCTTTGGCCTTGCTGTCCTGGCTCAGCTCCAAGGGGGTAGGCTAAGGGTTTAGGGGTTAGGGTTGATGTTTGGAGAGAGTAGGCTGGCAATGTCAAGTTAGGGCTAAGCAGGTTTGAGTTCTGTCGACCAAGGCAGTCCCCCGTCGCAAAGTCGTGAGCGAGAGTAGCGCTGAAATGCACCATTTGAGCATGGGCTTCCCAAGTGAAGACGCATCAAAATCATGGTTAATGTCAGGAGCCCGGCAGCTGGCCTAAACCTTAAACCCTCAACCCAGAACCCTAAGACCCTCTGCCCTTACGTCTTGATGTCCACCGAGGTTTGGACCCTGATCGGCAGTGAGGATGAGACGTCTCGCCGGCTTGATTGAGCGAAATTCGCTAGAGATACAGGGCTTACAACGCGTGTATGGGGATGATAATTGGGTTTGGGTTTAATTAGGGATTTAGGGTCTAGGGTCAATGGGCTTTCAGTGGGAGATACCTGAAAGGTTGTTGTACATTGAGGGCGTGATTTATCTTTAGGGCCTTGCAGGGGCTGCATCTAGGGTTTCATGAGGCCTGTTTCATACAAAGCCATCTTGGCACCTCTGGTGTTCGAGGTTTAGGGTTTAGGGATCAGGGTTTAGGGTTTAGGGTTTAGGGATCAGGGTTGAGGGTTGTGGCTGTCTCCAAAGTAGCCCTTTGTAATCCTTAAGCGGGTGGCCCCTAGAATCCCTTTTCAATCCGGTATCCTCCTTGGAAAAGACTCCCAGATTAGTAGTGTCCGCCATCACTCTCAGGGCCTCAGGCCCGCTTGGCTCTCCGTATTGAAAGACTGGCCTCTGGTGAGCTAGGAATTAAGGAATGGATCCTTCTAGTAACCCAGTATGCGTTAGGGGTTTAGGGTTTAATGGATCTTTATGGGAGACCCTATACACCCCATTATAGTAGTTTCCATTTTCTTTTCCATTCCTTCATGCCCAGCTAACCAAAGGCCACAAGAGTGTAGGGCCCTGGCCTAGGGTCTTCGCAGCTCTGTGAAGCCCTTGATGGCCTTGAAAGGAGAGCAACCATAGACGAAGGCTGCTGCCCTTGTATATAGCTGCCAGTTTAGAGCTTGGCTTAAATCCGCAAGCAATGGTGCCGTTACCTAAATTATGCAACAGGTCTTGCAGACTTCTCATACTGGCCTACCCACACCTGAGAGGATGGAATCCCAAACCGACACAGCCTTGCAACATGAATGCGCAAGTCCAGCAATGTGCAAGTCCAGGAATGCGCAGGCTGTGGCATCTGAGACATACACCTAAGCCCGCAACCTCTCACCACAAGCCTAGCGCCCACTTCTACAGTTCTTGTGCTTCAAAGTAAGAAAGTGCTGGTACTGAAGGCGTATGTGGTAGTTTCCTGAAAGAAGGGAACCCCATCATAGACCCAGAAATACTATAATCCTTATTATGGGGACCCCCAAAAAGGTACCCTGTAAAGTTGCGAACAACCCACTTGTTGCAGGTGTAGCATCTGCACCGAGACGCCGCAGTTGGGCATCCGGCTGTGCCGCTCTCGGATTTTCTGGTTTCTCACAGTTCGCATCTTGTCTCAGGGTCTTTGTGACGAAGTTTAGGGTTTAGGGTTTAGGGTGTTTTGGGGACTATTCAGTGGCCAAGTTGGGAAACTGCGATGTTGCAGATGTAGTTAGGGCTTCAGGTGCATAGGTGTAGGGTTGAGCTTCAGCGCTTAGGAGACCAAAGTTTGAAGCAAACACAGTATCTTTCAACTTCACCGTCGAAGTGTCTGAACGGTCCAGAAAGCCTTGACAGCTCTTCTGGTCTTGACAAAACATGGCTCGCACACGCTAATCCGGTTGCCCTATCAACGGACTTCTAATGTGGTAGGGCTGCTTGCGGTAGGGCTGCTTGAAAGATATTTGAAATTCTGAGGTGCCGTCTGGGTGTGGGACAAGAATGTGCGTTTGCACATCACAGCGGCGAGGTGGGGTGTTTGATTCTTTGAGGCCCAAAACTAGTTGGCAAAGGAGGGTCAATATCATATAGGCGGACATGTGCCTTCTTGTTAGAGGAACTGGTGGCATCTTCTCAGACCCTTTTATGCCTTTATGCGGGGTTGTTACGCGTGCGTAGCAAGCTCTGGGAGATTGCTTGCATTGGTAATGCGCATCCGGGGTGTGAGCGGAATGAGTTTGGAGCCAAACAAGAGCCGACAGCAATTATTTGCTGTGCGGCTACATATAGATAACAAAGATTTTTGAAGGCAGTAAAGTTAGGGTAAAATGCTTTTGGCAGGATGCCTCCTCTACTCTAAGAGATTGGGTGTCAGATCATGCAAGATTGCTGTATACAGGTATAATTTCATCCACCTTTCCATTTCCTCAGCTTCTTGCCGGGCTCGGGCAGGTTGGAAAACACAAAACCATCTGCTGGTCAGGTTATTGCGTCCGTGGTTCTGATCGGAGTGGGCAGCTGGGCACGGACAAGCTGGAATATTAGAGGATAATATTTTTTAGTACGTTATGGTATATTACAGTATAGTGTATATTATAGTATAGTATAGTATGTTGTAATATATTATAGTATACCATGGTATATTATAGTATCTTAATCAGGTTGTCTGAGTAATTCTAACGGAGCACTTCGTTCCTGCTTTTGAGACCCTCAAGGCTTCGATACCGACATAAGCATATTCAAAGGTGTGGGGGTTCTCAGCAGTGGCGGCTTGTGCGAGCTCAGGTATGGTGCTCTCCATTTACGCCACGCACGGCCCTCAGCTCTTCGAAGCTTCTGGAAGGCAGAGTCCAAAGATGACCCCTGAGGTCTCCGGATCGTTTGAGCGAAGAATTGGGGGGGTTTCCCATCATTAGGGGTACCTTTTTGGGGTCCCCATAATGAGGACTATAGAAAATTGGGGTCTAAATTGGGTTCCCCCTATTTTGGGAAATTACCAATTCTAAAGCAGAATGCTACGAGAAAGCCAAGCCAATTGGGTCAGATTCCTCCAGAGTCTTTGCTTGTAAATCGGTTGATGATTGGCGGAGGGCTGTAGCTGTACGAACGCATTTTCTTGTGTTGGAATGCGACAGCGAGTTGCGTGACGTCCTGTGCCCGTGGACGCCAAACCTCCAGATGCCCTAAAGTCGAAAGACTCGAAACCCACCCAAACAGCATAATTCAAAGGCCACTATGCCCTGAACCTAAGCTCTCTGAAACCAAGATCACTGCAAGCTTCCTTTTTTGAGACCTGAACTTAACTATCCAGGTGCCTCTATCGCCCACGGAGCAAAAGTGCAGAGGCCATTGCCGAGGCCTAGCTGTTTGGGGCAGATGAGAAACAAACAGCTGTATGAGCTTTAGTCTAATCTCCTTAAAGGGGGTGCTATTTGGGGTTTAGGGTTTAGGGATCAGGGTTTGGGGTCTAAACTCTTTGAAGGGCCTGGGCACCTTGTCACGAAGACTGTTATCGTGGTCCGTACTGTTTTTCATGATCACTCATATTGAATTCCTCTCACTCTCATTGGTTGCCAGCTGCAATTGAAGCATGGGTGACGTTGAGGGCTCAGGGTTTAGTGAATTGGCCTACAGAGACCAGAACTCTTCCACTTCGACCCTGCTGCCAGGAAGAGGCCCTCGCCAAGAAGAACTACCAGGCATTAGCAGCCCGCCTCAAGAAGACTGAGGACCTGGGGGCTTTGGGGCTTACGGCTCAGAGTTTAGGTTTGGGACTGGTCTAGGGTTGAACGGTTTTGTTCTGTTTGAGGTAGCTGTTCTAAAAGCATTGTATACGAGCTCTTGGCACAGGGATGACGATTCCTAGAGTGTAGTTTGCATGGCGTGAGAGTTTGGGATGTTAGGCCTTCAGGCATTGGGCTTGAGTTGAGATATGTTTGAGAGTTTAGGTCGGAGGACCGCCCGCAAAAATCACTGCGCATACTGCTTTTGGTAGTTTGTGCGAAAATTACGAGATGTAGACGCGTGCAGATCTTTGTTATGACATTAAATGCGCCCTACGAGCCTGGTACGTACTGGAGCCCCATGTGTTGTGTTGTGCGTGCAAAGACGCAACTTAGCCTTTTCACGGTCTGTATGCAATGGAGACAACCACCCCAACACGAAACCCTAAACCTTGAACCCTAACCCTAAACCCCAACCCAAAAGATTTACAGTTGTCGTTTTTGCACAGGACCTGGAGGCACAAGTCCTGAGCATGCTTGAGGACTGCATGGTTTGAACCGGAACAGGTTCACAAGGGATGCCTTGGGCTTTGGAGTCTTGGTTTCGGGCTTTGGATTTAGGATGTAGATGGAAAAGAGGTAGTTTGGAGCTACGTGCAGTGCACATGTTAGCCAACAAAAAAGGCTCTGGAGACCTAATGTCAGATTGTTGTGTGATGGTCGGTGCACGATAAAGGTGCCAGCAACCCCTGCAGCATCTTCAACATTTTGACTCATTTTTAAGATCCTGGAGCCGAGCACCTACCGACCACTTTCAGTGACACGCATAGAAGAGCCGTCGTGGTGCTTAGCCGTGATTGCAACCTATTGTAGCAGTGGCACTAACAAATCAAGGCGTCAGGTGTGAGATCGAAAGGTCTGTTGCTGACTCGCCTTCATGTTGAGTTTGATGTTCCAGAAGGGAACTGGCCTACTTGTGCCTCTTTGACTAGCTTCTGCAGGGAAAGCGCTTAAACTTGTCTGCGTGGGTGATATCAAGGTTAGGAGGCCCCTAAGTCTGAAGCCCCTCGGTGACCAGAGTCCTCTTTAGACAACTTCGCTCTTGGGGCTCCAGGTGCTGGAATCGGACGCGGGTAGTGCACAAAATGCCAACCTCTTTTCGCGGATAAGCTGCAAATCAGGTCTTGAGTCAGGACTGGCCCGTAGCGGCATACTTGCAACGAGGGTCCCCAACATTTGCAGCTTTCGAGCTCTGAAGAAGGGCGGGCAGTATGCTTCCTTGTGCTGCGGTGAGGTCTTTTGTGTGGTTGCCATGGCGATGGTCTGGAGGGTCGGGTGTTGTTCGGACGAAAGTTCAACATCTGGAAGCAGCAGCAGCCGCGGCAGAAGCCGCGAAATATTGTGGAGTTTATTACAACAAGGCACAGCATAGCTTTTCTGCGAAAGCCTCGGTGCGTGGCATTATACATCATGTTGGTACATACGGCTCGGCAATGCAGGCGGCGCAGGCTTTTGATGATCGTTTGCGTCTTATCTGTGGCAATGACCCCTTCCGTTTGAGAAGGTCATTGAACTTTCCCTCTAAAGACGAGGCTGCCTTTAGAGAGACACCTCTGCAGACCCGCAAGCGTGTTCTAAGGACTTATGGCGACAGCGCCCGCAAAGAAGCAGAAGGCTTCAAGCTGATCCATGCAATCTTTGAAAAGTCCTTGCTTGCACATCGATATGAACTCCGGCGCTTGACGGGATCGTCAAAGGCAGATGCATTACTCATGCCCAAGGATTCTGAGGGAAGCGGCTTGCCCATACAGATAAAAGCATCCTCTAACTCCCGGAAGGGAGAGGGTAGGCGTTGCAGGTATGATTTCCACAATGTGCTAGGCTATGACGGCATGCTTGTGCTCATGGTGGCGCTAGATTCTGGCTACGTATGGGCATGTTCAGGACAATCGCTCAAGGTGCAAAAGCTGCAGGTTACGGTAGGATGCAAGAGCGACACACAAAGACGCGTGTCGGACTTAGCATCTCACCTGCTTCGTTCCTTTCATGACACTCAGGAGTTTCAGCGTCTGTCCGTCCGTGAAGCGACCCTGGCCTGTGCACCTACCCACCAAGTCGAAGCATTTGCACGCCTTCAGCTGGAACGGTTGTTCCAACATGTGGGCATGTGTTTGAAGAACCCGTTCATACATCAGACGACGGTTGATTCGTTGTTGGCCTGGCAGCGTCCGGGCAGCTCCCCTGTGCTGTTGCGTGTTCAAGAGAAGGCAGCGAACAACTGGCGGGGTGATGGGCGTTACGCTGTCGTTATGTCAAAGCGTGGAGGTGTACTTGGACGCCTGGCCTATTCTGAAGATGACTTTGACCTACTGGCTGCCAGCGTGATGAACGAGAACCAGCTCCAGGGCGTGTTTCTCATTCCAATGTCTGTGTTGGTCCAACGGGCGTTTGCAGTCACGAAGGCCACTCAGATGAGCTTGCATCCGCCTTGGAGCGCGCCAAAACGGAAGCCTACAAAAGACAAATACGATTGGCAATTAGACTTTTTCCTTGATCTCCGTGCATGGCAGGGCTCCGAAGACTTGTCGCCAATGCTTCAGGCAAGATTGCGGCATTTGGTTCTGCAGGCATCTGCCGCGGCAGCGTGATTCAAACATCAGACCCGCATCTTGTGATTGCAGTTCTGTCGGGTATCGGTCTGCCGTCATATCTTGCCTCTTCTTCTCACGGGCTCGGGCTCAAGACGTTCGAATTTCATGCGTACGCAACTTGACCCTTAGGCCTGCCCAGCACGCAATTTGCACCAACAGATTAAAGACAGGTGCAAGCGCCAGTTAAGACTCTTCCTGCCCTAAACCCTGTTAACGCATATCTCCTGCTGCCCTACACCCTGCCACTTCAACCAGGATCATTTCACAAAGCCAACGTGTGCCAAGCAGATGCGGGACTGCTACTATGCAAGGCCCCTAGATTTCTGGCCATGTCTGTTTTTAGGATAACTATTTTTCATTCCTGTTAATATTGCTATGATTTTTTTTATTACTGTTATTACTATTATTACTATTACCATTACTGTTAGTAGTACCAGTAGCATGATGGGCATTGATATGATGAGGACTTACTATGAGCTTCCTTAGCTTGCCTGGGCTGTCTGCTTATTCCCCTTGAGAAGTCTGCAAGCACCATGGCAAGAACCCGCCAACCCTTGAATGCCCAAAAATCTGACGATGGGATGAGGAAATGACTTGGACATGGGACTCGTGTTTTGAAGTTTGCCCCTACTGTTAGTATTGTCATATTTTTAAAATTTGTACAATAACTATTGTAATTACTCGTACTATTACTGTTATCATTACCATTATTCCTGTCATTACTACACCTTTTGAAGTCCATGTTGGCCAAGGCCAGTCCGCTTGGCTATTTGCAGTACTACCTGGACAGGTACTACCACCAGGGCAGCTGCGTGTGGTTTGTGCCTTTAAGGTCCAGGCAACAGTCACCCTTAAGTAGATAGAACATGGCTTTGGATTCATATTACTAAGATCCCCATCTACCCCATATTCTATCTACTTTAGAGGGACTATGCTCTTTCAGGCTTGCTTTAAGTGTTCAGGCGCCTTGGGATTTCTACTAGTTCTTCCGAAAGGTCAGGCCTATGGGTAGGTGGAACAACAAAACGCCACCATGGCCTCTCTCCCTTCTGAACCCGACATTTCTGCAGTACATTTGTCCGATTTGTCTGGCCGCTGCAGTAACTGAAGGGTATGAAAGCGAAGCTTCACCATGTTCTGTTTGTGGGGAACCGCGGAGCCAAACCTCGCCTGCGTGCCGGGCTCGAAGAGGAGAGCTTCCCTTGCTGCATGAGCTTTCCAGATCCAGTGTATATCTTGGGGGTATATGAGCTACAGTCTAAACTCCTAAACTCCTTGAAAGGGGGTTTCTTTAGGGGATTATACAGGGTTTAGGATTTAGGGTTTAGGTTCTAAACTCCTTAAGGGGGTTATGTAGGGGATTGTATAGGGATTACTATTAGGGGTTGCCAAGGGGGATACTAGGAGGTTAGGCCATGGCTCATATGGGGATAATGGACAAGAAAATGGAAACCACTATACGGTTTCGGGGCTATAGAAGCATAATGGAAAATGGAAGCTACTATAGTATATTGGCGCTTTACGGGGATAGTGGAAAAGAAATTGAAAGCTACTATTCTATAACAGGGTATATACTGGGGTTACAGGAGCGTGAGAGGTTGAAGACGATGTCTGCCTTCGGGGCACGGCCGCCATGAGCATTGGTGTGCCCTGAACCCTGGACCCTAAACGCTAAAAATTCAACCCTAAACTCTAAACCCTAAACCCTGAACCCTAAACCCTAAACCCTTAAAAAACCCTAAACCTCAAACCCCAAAACCCTAATTCTAAATCCGAACCTTAAATCCTAAACCCTAAACCCTAAATCTGCCTAAGCGCATCAAGCCGCCGGAGTGTGCGCCCTGCTGTGCTGCTGCCAAGGCTCCGGGGGTGTAATCATCATGAGAATAGTAGTAATGAGAATACTAGTTGGAGTAATAATAGTAGTCGGAATAGTAGCAATGATGAGAGGGCTAGTACATGGTGTTACAGGTAGTGTCTTGCTACCTGCATGACTGCTCCGCGCAGCATGCTGAGCTAGTACGAAAGGCCTGGAATGCAGACTTCGGAAGGGGGCGTCGATTTGTTTTGCATGATCTCCTAAACCCTAAACCCTCAACAAATGATCTTGTTTGTCAGGTTTTGCTGCTTTCTGATCCGTTCCTAGGGGGGTTGGACATGCTTCTCAAGTGACCAGGGCCACTCTCTGCTAGCACTTGTTTCGATAATCTTGCTGGCGGTCAGTCGGGAACAAGGGAAGATAATCCCTATACAATGTAGAGTGTTCCCTCATTCCGTACTCACCCCCAGTCAGCAATTTTATGCTGGCATCGAGTCCGGGTCCACGCTTTCAAAGGCTGGTCATCTCATGTCAGGTTCAACCAGAGTTGACGTAGCTAAGCTGAGGAAAAACCCGAACTCTTGTTTTACTGGGGGTTAGTACGGAATAATATATATATATATGTATATAGGGCTAGTTTTGGGGTGATATAGGGTTCAGTGGGGTTAGTAGGGAAACAGGGAACATGTTCTATTATATTGGGAATATACGCGGATTATATTGCCTCGTTCCCTACCAAGCACCAGTAGTTGTGCATGCAGAGACCTGCTGCAAGAATGTATTCTTACGCCGTGTGCTCTCGACTGTAATTATGGCTAATGTAGCCCCGCTGCCTGACTCTTGGATGAAGAAACTTTTGCAATTTGGAGTCCTGACTCATGGCATTCAAAGCGCAAAGCGTTTCTGCAAGGCTAGTAGACTACGAGACACTTTGTGTTTTCTGCTGTAGCAGCAACAGCAGCACCAACCACAACAGTAGGACCACAACCCTGAGGGCTGAACAATAAATGGCAAACTCGAACAGAAAGGCGAGCAAAGAACCAGCGAAACCCAAACCCCCAAACCCCTTCCCCCCTGAGCTCAAACCCATAGTGCTTTGTGCCCGCGCCGTACAGCTTCTGGCTCTCCATTCGGCATAGCCAGAAAGCCAGAAAGCCGACAGATGCCACTGCCATGACTGCATAGAGAGAGACAGAGGGTTTTAGGTTTACGGCTTTGGGGCTTCTGGGACTTGGTCATAACATTTCCCTCATCTCTACACCCTTTAGGGATCCCTAGGATCCAGAGGCGAATCTACATCAACAACGGCTTCTTCTAGGACTGCTAGCAGCGCAGAGACCTACAAAATTGCCTCAAGAACGCATTAACACAAGTAAACGTAGAAGAGAAGAAGCAGAAGTAAGAACAGGAAAGTTCACAAGAGCTTTTTTTTTCCGGAACTCTCACACGTCCCTGTTGGCGCCGTCGTCACGGTGCTCAGGGCGTGGAAGAGTATGCAGACAAGCAGCTGGACCTGGCTTTAGGAATTCCTAGGGGTTATGCAGGGTTCTCCGGTTTCTAGAGGGGAAATCGGGACTGGCACTTGGGCTTTGGGGGTGTGGGTGGAAAAGCTCGGAATTTGGAACAAGGATTTTTGGGTTACATTTCGATGTAGGCTTGATGAGCTGTGGTTGGGGAGCTTTGGTGACCAGGGTTTGCCGGATCATGGGATTTAGCATGAGTCTCACATGGCTTGGGAACCGGTTTGGGATGTCGTGTCTTCCAGTTGCAGGGCGAGAATTGAGAAAAACATGTTGTGACCCATGAGTTGAAACTGCGATGCTTCTGTTGCGAGGGCGTTTTTGTCCATGTGGGGTTTGTCTGAATTTCTGTTTCTGCCAGGTGACGCAGGACGCTTGCTGACTTCAGGGATTGCGGCCTCATCGTTTTGTTCCCCCGCCAATGTTGCTCATGACTTCTCCTGATTGAACATCATCATTCTGCAGTTCGAATATTGCACAAATCTTTTTTGAATGCCGTCCGGGAGAGGTGTGTACGCTGTTGTTACTTTTGCTACTACAGGGAAGTGATGCCATGAGTCCTTGGTGCCTTGACCACAATTCCTTCCTAGCAGGCCACAGCCCCAAGCACTGAAACCCAATACCTTGGGTCATTCCCTCATACAGTAACTGTCCTCAAAGGTAGGGGCTATTATAACTCCTATACCCATTGTGGTAACTGTTACTGTAAGGGGAAATGACCCAACCTAAACCAGTCTTCGCGCAGCATCAAGGCTCGCCTCAAGTCCTAAACGCGAAGCTTGAGAGGCAACAGCAAGAGTAATCCACCTTAGAAAATTGAGTCCTAAGCCCTCAATACGAAAACTCTACATCCTTAAATTGCCAAAAACCTTGACGCTTAGCAAAGCCCACCACCCCAAATGGGAGTTTACCATAGGGAGTTATGTACACCGAACATCTTTTGATTTTTGTCGCATGACCCCTTTTCAATTCCGAATCCCAAACCAAAAACCTTGAAGCCTTAAACCCTTAAACCCTGAACCCTAAACCCTTGTACCCTGAACCCTAAACCCTAAGCCTTTAACCCTAAAACCTAGACCTTACGCCCTCAATCCTAAACCCTGAAGCAACCGAAATCCTAAAGTTGAAATCCCCAAATCACACCTCCTTCACCATTGAGCTAAGGCAGCCCGACATCCGATAACCAGGCTTCTACGCAGCGGCCCCAGAGCCTTTGAACTTCAGGTTTTTAGGGTTTTAGGGTT